TTAAAAAACACTATTCTTTAGAAAAATTTAAAACAGTTTCTAGAAGAATCTTACCTCATTTAGATTTTAATTCAATAGACTTTAAATATTTTTTTTAAAAGGTAATTTTAAAATAAAAAAAAACGCTTCTATTAGCACTAGATATATTTTGTTTTATGTATCAAATATATTTGTATTAGTAAATACTAAATTATTAAATACTAAATTATTAAATACTAAAGTCTATAATACTAAAGTCTATAATACCAAAGTCTCAATTTTCTGTTTCTTATCGCGGCATTAATTTATATACCAAATTAGTTTCGAATTATAACTCAATTTCTCTTGCTGACAATATAATCTCTTTAAAGTCAAAACTAAAAAATCAGGTTCTCAATACAGATAATTACATATAAATGTTTTAGTTCTAATGAAAAATTAATATTTACGCTCACATTCAAACAAACAGCAATCAATCAAAAATGTATTTTTTTAAATTAAAAAATTTTTAACATTAGCTATAAATGATTTATGCAAAACACAAAATTTACTTGATGCAATACCAAAGGCATTTTCAACAACTCTACGCGCTCTACTAAGTCTATAGTTGAAAATAAGTTTATTTGTTTAAAGATTATTAAAAGCATAAGGCTTCATCATGTTTTCTTCCTAATACAAATATGTCATCTGCGACGAAAAGATAGGACATAATTTTATCCAAATTATTAGACATTTTTGAATCTTTTGGAAATTTTAAAAGGTTGTTCTCTATGGCAAATCCAAATTGACTATTGTAGTAAACACTTCTATCACATTTTTTGCCACTATTACCAATATCTACTAAAATAAAACGGTATTTCACATCAGAGACAGCCATTAATATTGTACTTTGTGTCTTTTTATAGTTAAAATAGCTTGACCTTGATCTAGCTGGAGCAAACAATTGAACATGCTTACCATCAATGGCACCGACAAAATGTGGAAAGTGCCATCTGGTTTCAAATTCTTTGGCAATTTTTTCCCACTCAGTTTCAGAATTACGTATTTTCCTAACAAGATGTTCCAAATAGCATTAACAGTTTCAATTACTCTACTTCCAACAGTGGTTGGTGACATTCAATAATTAGCAGCTATTGTAGTGTGCGCATCCACAGTTGCCAAATACCGTACTGTTATAGCAAGTCTTTCTTGTGCACAAATAGGTATACGCATTTTTGTATTAGTTTTTGTTATATCAAGAGAGACAATTTGTAAAAGTTTTTCAAAAGTTGAAAGAGACATTCGAAAATATATAAAATCTCATGATCATAAAGTGTTAAATCATTAAAAAGAGTTTGATATTCCCCCTTAAATTTTCTCTCATAAATTTTTCTTATCCTAAAAGGTCTTTTTTTCTTTATTCTATTTTATGCCATATGTAAATATTCATGTATATCTTTCTGAGAAGAAGAACTTAATTCTTATTTATAAAACGGCAGTTTAAAATATACTTTTTAAACTGCCATTTTATGAATAAGAATTAAATAATGAAGATAACTTGAACAGCGTTGACATGCGAATGCGATTGCGTAATCGGTAAACAATGTCTTTGTTGATATCAAAAAAAAAAAATCCTAGCTTAAGTAAAGAATACGTAAACTTAATTACAAATTAAAATAGCTTTCAATCATTTTCATATTGCCCGATTTTGTGCTAAACAAGACGTGAAGTTAAATTAAACTTTGTATTGGAACTAAATATTTCACTGGATTTTTATATATGAGAGTATGAGTAGTAAATCTCCATTTTAGCAAAGTTAAAAACAACAAGCAACCAAAAGTATATATATATATATATATATATATATATATATATATATATATATATATATATATATATATATATATATATATATATATATATATATATATATATATATATATATATATTTATATATAAATATATATATATATATATATATATATATATATATATATATATATATATATATATATATATATATATATATATATATATATATATATATATATATATATATATATATATTTATATTTATATATATATATATATATATATATATATATACATATATATATAAATATATATATATATATATATATATATATATATATATATATATATATATATATATATATATATATATATATATACATATATATATATATATATATATATATATACTATATATATATATATATATATATATATATATATATATATATATATATATATATATATATATATATATATATATATATATATATATATATATATATATATATATACATATATACATATATATATATATATATAAATGTATACGTATGTTTGTATGTATGTGTGTATATATGTGTGTATGTATGTATGTATGTATGTTTGTATGTATGCATGCATGCATGCATGCATGTATGTATGTATGTATGTATGTATGTATGTATGTATGTATGTATGTATGTATGTATGTATGTATGTATGTATGTATGTATGTATGTATGTATGTATGTATGTATGTATGTATGTATGTATGTATGTATGTATGTATGTATGTATGTATGTATGTATGTATGTATGTATGTATGTATGTATGTATGTATGTATGTATGAATGTATGTATGTATGTATGTATGTATGTATGTATGTATGTATGTATGTATGTATGTATGTATGTATGTATGTATGTATGTATGTATGTATGCATGCATGTATGTACGTAGGTATGTATGTACAGAGGCGTGGTCAAATTTTTTTTTGTTCGAGTTAGGTAACTTGCAGACATGGACCAAACTCTAAATATTTATATTTTTATACTTACGTCAAATAATGGGGCTACGCAAAAAATTGCGATGATCGGAGTCTGGAAACAAAAGGCCCCAAAATTCTTGCCTTCTGCCCCAAACGTGAGAGCAACAAGTTGATAAAATATTTTTTGTACTTTTTTCAACTAGATTTGTATTCATCAATAAATTTTAAATTTCATAGTAAAATAATTTAGCGTTCAAAAGTTATGACGGTTTAAAGTTTAAACCCCTCTCAATTTGAGGGGGTTACGAAATTTAAACGGTCATAATTTATGAACGTTGAAAAATTATACTATGAAACTCAAAACTTATCGATAAATATAAGTCTAGTTATGAATTGTACAAAAAATATTTTATTTTTGTTCCCAGCCTCCGATCATCATAATATTTCTGCCTAGTCTCATTATTTGACGTAAGTAAAAAATAAAAATCTCGAACATCAAAAAATTCTGTTTACACCTCTGTGTATGTATGTATGCATGATGATTCAAAATGGCATTTACTGAACATGGAATTCGATATATTAGATTTTAAATACCTTTTTAAAAACAATTTAAAAGTTTAAACTAAATCACTTAAAAATAAATTAAATCTTTATCACTTTCTTTAGCTTTTATTAAAATGTTTTCAAACCATTAGTATAAAAGAAAATGAAAATAAAGTTGTCTTTTTCGTTCATGTTTTTGATGATATTAAATAATCAGCCCAAATACTTTTTTTTACATAAATTGTTTTTTTTTTTAATTAAACGACGCATTTTTTTGTGTTTTTATAACTTTTATGATTTTCTGTCGTTTTTATTTTTTTATTTTTAAAATTATTCTGCTCGAAGATTGTAAGCAACAAACTATTTTATTGCTGAAGTTTTTGATTTGTTTTTGTTTTTGTATTTATACTGTCTTTTTGTCTTTTTTCATTTATTGTGCATGTAAATACTTTTGTGACGGGGCTCGGTGATAAGACAACCTGTTTTCTTCTTGCTCCGGCCAGGATTTTCTTTTATTGTAATTTTTTTTTTGTAATATTTTTCAACGGCAAAGTAAATAAATAATAATAATAATAAAAATAAAAATATGTATGTATGTATGTATGTATGTATGTATGTATGTATGTATGTATGTATGTATGTATGTATGTATGTATGTATGTATGTATGTATGTATGTATGTATGTATGTATGTATGTATGTATGTATGTTTGTATGTTTGTATGTATACCAGATTTTTATTTACAAATTATTTAGGAATCATTTGTCATTATTATTTATATAATAACTTTTTTTTAAATATATATAACAGTTTAATGAATGCTTTCCAATCTTTTTTGTAAGCGCACATTCCGAAGAGCGCATTCCGTAAGAAACTGTTTCGCAAGTACTCTTTTGAAATGATTTTTTCCGCAAGTTTCTTTTTGTAAAAGGTAAAAATTTCTCAAAAAACACAAAAAAACACAAATCTGCACCCTATATCACCAAAATTTTTGAAACTTGGCACAAATGTTGTAAGACATATGTTAGGAAAGATTGTAATTTTTTTTCATAAAATTCCTTACCGTTTATAATTTACAGCAATTTAAAGTTTCCTTTATTTTGACTAAAAACTGAGGGGGGAAAAGTGTCGAAAATCATTCCGTTTACTTTCACCTTAATATGGTGCTTGTAGTGATGCCACAGTTCTGAAACTTTGTATCAAAAGAGTTTAAAACCTGTTAAATCCGAAAAATATAGTTTTTTATATGTCAAAACAAGGGAATGTAGCTTATTTTAAGATCCATAAAATACACTTTATAACGCCGAGAAAAAAGGGCATTGACAATTATAGCTATAAAAAAAATCTGACTGATACAAAAAAATTTAATTTCGATTTTCTTAAAAGTAAGATCGACACCTACTTTTCGAACCAATTTTGTTTTGGCATTATATTTACTTGAGGAATTATTGATGTTTGATATAGACATAAATTTTGTTAATATTTTTTAAGTTAGAAACTTAATATAATCCTACCTTTTACCAATCAATCAAATTTGGAACAAAAAATTTAATGACTTTATAATCTTTTTCATTTTCATATGATATTTTCATCAAAATTTAAACGTATATAAATTTTTTAAAAAAATACTAAACTTTAGTGATTTTATATTTGCTCCACATTATTTACAAGTTGGCTCACAAACATAATATTTAAAAAAAGAATGGATAAAACATAATAGACTCATAAATATAAAAATTTCTACTTCCTCAGGAAAATATTATTTTTTAAGTCCTCTTTGGCTAAATAGTAGCAAAGTCCTGTTTTTGTAATCGGTACCTCAACTTTGCAAATAATGTGGACATCAGGAATCCAGCATTGGTTTTCTTTTGGTGGCCATTTCAACGACCGCGCAGGACCATGAGAACACCTAAATTTTCAAGCACATCTTTTTCTTCTTAATTAATATCTTCAATGACTCCTATCCACCACTTTTGCTCATAGAAAACACAGGCATAATCACCTGGAATTAGGTTTACAGTTATTATCTGGATATTTCCAAAGTCATAAATTAAAGCAAATTCTTCATCAACACTGCATAGCTTAGTGCCTACCTAAACAAAATAGTAACATATGCAATTATTCCGTTTTACTTATCAAACATGTTTTATTAAATGCATAGATAGCAAATGCAGAGGAAATAAAATAAAATACAAATATTTTTGATAATGATTCTGATAAAATCTAATATCTATTTTGAGTTATCAATAAAAGTTATGCGTGTATTTTGAAATATGGTAAAAGGTATAATTAAAAAATAATGATTTACCTTTTGATGGCCAAGTGGTACAAACTGATGGGAACTACGTGTTCCAGGTGTTGTATTAGCAGTATCCAATCGTTCTTTAAGAGCGGTTCTCACCAAAGTTAAAACTTCTGATGAAATATATATGAAATTTATGCCTTCAATGTTTTCATTGCAATATTTATACATTGTTTGTGGAGAAAAAACATGATTATCTATACTTCTTTGCAAACTTGCTAGTTTTGCCAGATGTTTGACTGTACCATCTTTCTCATCACAAGGTTACTTAACGTGACTAGTTGCAAAAAAGTTCCATTTAGCAGTAAAACCAAAATCTTCACAAGATATTGACCTGCATACCCATCTGAAAAGTCTTTAATATATTTTATTTGAGGCAAACTTGCTTTTATATCATTGCAAACAACCTTAATAATTTTATAAACCATGTTCACATCATGGATCACATCATCCGAAATAATCTAAAAGGAGTTGTGCTTGAGAATGCCTTCTTTATTGAAATAAATAATCACTGGATGAAGTGTACATAGTCAATTGGTTAAATGAAAGCTTTGCACTTCATCCTGAATTACAAATTTATAGTTTTCTGAAAAACCAACAAGAAACTATGTTGTTACCTAAACGTATCTTCCTTTATTGATCTCAGGTATAATGCTTGACTCTTTGTTAATACGAATGTGGTGCAAGTTTTTCCAGTGTTCTACATACTAGCTCAATGTATTCAAACACTGGCCCTTTATTATGTGTCAAGTTTGACCTATCTGTTGTTGTCCATTGATTAAATTCAATCTCATCATAATTTTCAAATACTCCAAGTATATCATAAAGTTTTTCAATGTATGTCACACCAAGAGGATGTAAAAGCAGTTTTAAACTCTGATAAATAGCACAGACGCATACAGAATGTGATCCTGAACCACCAACAGTAATACATCATTTTGGTCGCAAAGTGCAAAACCTTGAAAATCCTATTTTTATTTTTGGGCTTTTGGTTTTAAAAGCAACAAACAACTCCTTTAAATTACATAAGAGCAAACGTTTTTGCATGTAGACATTTTTCTTTATGCTTACATACTCCTTTTTACAAGGCATTAAACGGCTATGTTCATTGTCTTCGGAAAAGGTCTTGACCAATTGAACTGTTACATCAGGAAGAGCTTTTCCTAATTCAGGATTAGGCTTGGTTAAATTACCTTTTTCTAATGTTAACTTACCTGCAGTTCGAGCTACATAGTTTGTTACATGCAATGTTTCAGATACCTTTTTTATTGACCAGTCTGTTGGAGCAAGTGTCGCAAGTTGTACTTTTTTTGATGTTGATGTAGACTCTGCAATTTTGTTAGTTAACAATACCATTATGTTATCAAAAAAGTTCGCTTCTTCTATATACTCATTTTTAAAACTTGACTGTTCTTCAAAACTTTCTTCTGATATATTTAGGGAAATGGCTACCTTTTTTTTAATGGAGGTTGTTAATGCAGTCAATTTTCGTTTACCTTCTCTGATTTTACCTGACTTGTGCAATCCGTTGACCTTAATTGGAGATACTCTGGCAAATGCAAAGTGTGTATCTACACTTTCTTTTTTATTTTGAATGGATCTTTTATTAACAATATGAAAATCTTCATCATTTTTATTTTCACTTATACTTTTTGATAAACATGTCATAACTTGACTTCACAGGTTGGACACAGTTTTTTTTCAGGTATAAAATTTAAACCTATGGTTTCTGCTTCTAACATAGTATGCATTGTAATCACACGTAGAGATGCTTAAAAAGAAAGTTATGTAATTTAACATGGTATTGTTGGTGTGTGCATATATTAGTAATTTCTTCTTGTTTCAGATTTGTTCGTTTTTCAAGTAGCTTACGATCATTGCTGTCAATATCTTCAATCAGATTTCTTTCTTGAGTATATGATTGTTTATAACAAGCTCCATAATTATTTACAAAGCAGCAATTAATTTTGTTATCCATATAAAAATATAATAAGGAATCTCTGTCTAAACACTCAATACAAGAAATCTTAAATAATCTTAATGTCTCTAACAAGAAAAGTACACTTGAACACAAACAATATCATATCAATATGTATTTATAAAGAACATATTGCTTGAACAAGTAGCTATTAGTTTAATAGACATATTTTAAATGCCTAACTATCTACTAATTATTGTAAATTCTCCATTAACTACTTACAAAAAGTTGTGTAAAAGAAAAAGATAACTAAATATATTTTTATTTAGTTATGTAACTTAACATGGTAATGCTAATTAGACATTATTATATCATTTTATTACTTTTTTTATTGATGATAATCAATGTTTTATTACAACAAAACAATCAACAACAAAAGTTACGTAATGTTGTTAAATTTAATGACATGATATTATGTAATGAAAATGACATTATTATAATGTAATGAAAGTAAAAAGAAACAAATTTATAAAATGTTCAACTATGTTTTGTAATAAATTTTTAAATTTATTAAAAAAGTTATTACAAAACATAGTTGAACATTTATTAAATCTATTACAAAACAACAATAATTGTATTTTTATTCAAAATATATTTGCACATTTTCTTTTTTTTTTTGCAAAATATCTTTAGAAAAATTGAAAAACTAAAACATCAATAGCTCCTTGATAAAACAAAAGACCAAATAAAAATTGGTTTGAAAGGTAGATATATGTTTAATATTTAAAATAACGAAAACCAAAATTTTTTTTCATTAGTCAGATTTTTTCTAGAACTATAGTTGTCAATGGCCTTTTTTATTGTCATTAACAAGTGCGTTTTGTGAATCTAAAAATAAACTATATTTTATTGTTTTGAGAGTTATAAATTTATGATTTTCAGATTCAGCAGGTTTAAAACTCCTTTGGTACCAAGTTTTAGCTTCGCAACATTACTACAAGTTTGTTAAAAGGGTAATGGTAAATTGACATTTTTCCGGCTTTGTCCCCCCTCTTTTTTCAGTCAAAAAATTATTACATTCAATTTGCTGTAAATCTTAAAGGGTTTAGAATTTTTTGAAAAAATTTTATAGTCTTTCTTAACTTATATCTTTAAACATTTGTGCATAATTTTAACGAATTTGGTGATGCAGGGTGCAACCCCTTGTTTTTTGAGAAATTTTTACCCTAAAGCGTTATTAAAGAAATATTATTATTTAATATTTTTTTTATAATATGTTATGGAAGATGAATTTGTGCATATAAATCTTCCGTAATTACGGAAGATAAAAATGCTAAACTTTGGTTTCTTGGCAATAGTTAACACTTTTATTTTACCCAGTTATTCAGTGCATACTTTTTGCTTTAGTTAAAGTAAATATACAAAAGCATGCAAAAAATATTGCTTAGTTAGATACAGTAAGAGACTTTAATTTTTAATTCATTTAAAAGTTTATTGGTATTTAACAAACATTGGTTACTTATAAACTAGTCCTGAGAATCTTATAGTTGAATAAGAGAAAAAAACACTATTAGATTATAAATGAATCATAATTTCTTTCAAATTGTTAAATGACATATATTCAAATTATGAAATGATTTCAAATGATATACTTTCAAATAATGAAATGATTTCAAATGATGTACTTTCAAATTATCAAATGATTTCAAATGATATACTTTTAAATTATCAAATGATTTAAAATGATATAATTTTAAAGTATCCAATGATTTTAAATGATATACTTTTAAATTATCCAATAATTTCAAATGATATACTTTCAAATGATATGCTTTTGATGTTTGAACGGGCTATGGCATATTTTATTTCAATTGAAAAAATAAAATATGAAAATAAAAAGTTGTTATATTAACAATGAAACCTCTAATTAAAATCTGCACACTTCATACATTTAATCAATAAATTACTGAATGTCTATTGTAAATACCAGGGTTACAAAAGTTTAGAGTTTAATAAAGAAAGCTTTACCCAATTTAAATAAATTACAATGAAATTATGCAGCTAAATTAATATAACTGTTTAACTTATAAAAATTTTAGACTAAGAACCAATATTACGTTAAAAATATTTTTAGGTACAAACTACAATACTTTGACATGCGTCTCTTTAGAAGTCTATAATAATTTTTTTTTAAATAAGTGGTAATGCCTACCTTTTTTAAAACCTTGATTAAATTAATTAAGGCGCAATTTTCATGATTTTTTTTTTTTAATATTTTTTATTATTATTATTTTTTTTTTTGTAAATTAGACCAATATTGAAGTTTATAGTACTAACACGGTTGGCCAAAAAGACCGCCAGGTTTTATGTCGTGTCACTTGATCGAAACTTTTTTTATTTAAGACTATTTGCTTTATAAAAATAGAATCTAGCATTTTTAAAATCCGAAAAAATTGCTATGGGTCACAAATGGGGCAAAAAGGTAAATTGAGGGGCCTGATGCCCATTTGACCATTTTAGACGCCCATTACAAAAAATGTATAAATTAATTAAGAATATGCGTCTTATAAAAAATAGAATATATAGTAAACTATAAAAGTCGGAACAAAGTTCTTAGGATCACAAAGAACACAAAAAAATAAAATTGAGGGGCCCTACCCCAATTGAAGTATTTTAGACGCCCATTGTAAGAAAAATTTGTTAATTTATGATATTTGTCTTTACAAATTGACACAAGTGTTTTAAAATCGAAACAAAGAACTAAGACTCACAAATAAAGCAAAAAGGTTAAATTGATGGGGCCACAAGTCCATTTAAACATTTTAGATGCCTGTTACAAATAAAGACTTTAACAAATTTAAAAAGTAAAACAAAAAAATATAAATATATATATTTACAATATTAATTTATATTTGTTACACAATTCAAATACACATTAATTCATTTTCCTGCACTTTTAGAAATCAACATGTCAAAGTAAAAGATAAATTAGAGTCTTCTTTCATTGAAATTTATTACAGAGGATAAAAGCAGTTCTCCATGTTGAGCATGGTCTTCTGCACGTTTATATCTACTCCAGGTAGGTTTAAATTTAGAATGAATAGCCTCTCCACACTGCTTAGCAAACTTAGCTAGACCACAGTTATGGTGTTCATCAAAGGGTTGAACATGACACAGCAAGATGTGAAACTTCCAGCTTAAAGAACATTTTTTCCCTAGAGCCTGTGCAAGCTCTTGGGTAGAAAGGAATCAATTTTTAAACACAGTAAATGCCATTTTATACTCTGTCAAAAGAATTTGACCAAAACAGGAATCTTTTACTATTTTAAAGTCTTTCAAACACTGAATTATAGGTCTCAGTTGAGGAACCTGATATGCTACTACTTTATCAAGTTCATCCAGGTTTTTCAGGATCTTGTTAGAATTATTTCCGTCCCAACCTCTACCTTGATACCCTCTCTGATATGCACTTTTAGTTTTCAGCCAGTCATCAAATTCAGGCCAAATATCTAAAAGCAGACATCCTAAAGTAGATACAACTCTAATCAAAAGATGTAATTCAGGAGGTGGTACCAAACGCTGAATTAAAGTATCTAGACTCTTCTCTAGATAGAGAATCCTCGGATGTATCACATTCATATATTGTTGCATGTTAGATTTTTTAGATTTATTTTCGACACTGTATTTTTCATACCAATAATCAAGACTTCCAAGAGTTCTTTAAAAAGGATCCTTCACTATCCATAGAAATTCGTACAAATGCAGAATGAACGTCTAAACCACGTTGGTTAATCAATTCCATAGTGAAGGATGATGGCTCTTGAACATACACAAGATCCTTTTCAACACTTCCCAATTCATTGTCAAGAAAATCTATCTGCAAATATGTATAAATAGATAAGTGTCATTATTTTGTTACATTCATACAGTGTCATTATAATGTAAATAAAATTTAATAAGAAAACTTAAAGATTAATAAAAAACACATTATATTTATGTAAATTATTCAAAATCTAATTCGAATATCATTCAACTTTAAATTAGCTTCACTATTTTACAAATAATATTGTACATATATTGATGGTTACACATTGTATAAGTACATTTTGTAATGAATAAACATGTTTAGCCATAACAAATAATACTTATATAAATAATACACACTTGTTTGGCTAGGACATATTTTTTTTAATGGCATTTTATATATTTATATGGAAGAGTTAAAGCAACTTTTTTTACAGCTAAATGTCTTTCCTGGTGTTAGCCTGTTATGAAAATTAGGAATATATTTTACAGCCACTAGGAAGATTAGTATTCAAAGTAATAAGCCAAAAAAGCCTTGTCTGATCTAATATAAGATCAGTATCTTACTATAGGATAAGGATGTTTTATTCACAGTGAAGGATCTTTCTCTTTTTTGCAAATCATTTTATATTAGAAAATTTAACATCATAAAAGACCAATTTTTTGATCAATATATTACTAGATAACTATAAATAATATACAAATATGAATATATTTAAAATACAAATTACCTTTTCTACATGATAAAAATGTGATAATGATTCCGAAAAATCATTTAACTTGCCAAAAATGTTAGTTTCTACAACAGTCTTACTCCCTATTTCTTTCCGAAGAGTAGAAATTAATTGTTTGGTCTTTTTATTAGAAAGCTCTAATACGACTTGAAGTTCCTTTATAACTTGTAAGGATACTTGTTTTACTGATCTTCTGTTTACCTTGTTAGAAGGACATCCAACAGTTACATTCAACGGGTTTTCCCCAGTTGATAAAGAAAATGTTGTCCCTGTTGAAATGCAGTCTGCACTCATTTTATTTTGTATTATACCTAAAGCAACTTGTTCAGCTTGAATGCTCCCTAGTCTTGTGGATAGAAAAATCAAGTTTTTTACAGCAGTTGATGAAGAACAGTTGTGGACATATCCTGCTGATAAGATTGAGTAGCACTGTCCACAGAGCTTTGAATTATTGGCAGAAAAAGATATAACTGATTCGTTTTCACTAATTGGGAGCATTCCATTTGATTTTATGGTCAACATTTTCCATACAACTTTTAGAAGTGAAATACAAAATTATATAAATGTAAGTGCTTCATTACAGTTTAGAATTTGCTATAAA